CACAGGCACATAGAGATAAACAACATCTACACACTATTCAAAAGAGACGATAAAAAGGAAACAAAAAGACCAGAACATCTCCTCACCAGCAATCACCGCCTGGGTAAGCAGAGATTAACACCAAGATTATCACCAGACATACAATCAAGCAGTAAACAACAGCTTAATCTAGGAACTACCAAGGAAAAAACAACTCCCCCACCAACGCTGTGTTGATGTGACCTAGCCAGATAATGAGATGTCTGCAAGCAAACAACCAAGCTCAGAGAACCCCGAGGACTCCACAGTTCGACCCCGAGCTACACATATCCTCTTCTATGGAGAAACAGCATCTGCACTGATGACTAGCTTTTCCACGTTGTTAGACCTCGGCTACCTCTCTTGTAACATTAGGAATTCTGGCTATACATGCAGCATATCCCTTACCCGCATCATGAAGAGCAGTTCGTCCTTGCAGATCCACATTTTCTGTTGAGCAATTGTACTGCAGAACAGCCAAACATATTTTATTACCATTTTGTTGATATTTAATACTTCCAATATAGCAGCAGAATCTAAACCTGGCAACACTTCAAGAAGCACTTCAAATACATTTTCATTCGAAAATGTTGCACGCACGGATCAGGAAAGCTCATGTAAGAACCAAACTTTATATGTGACATCATATCTACTCTAGTAATGTCTACGGGAACATTAGCAGATGCAGCTTTCTTCAAAATCAGACCGCAACTCCACACGGTCTCTTCTGATTTGTAGGGCTTCTTTCTAAGTGTTGAAAGAGAAGCTTTTTCCTCCTACCCCATGGACAGAATTGCTAAGTACTAGACCTGGATTTCTGCATTTACCTCCACTGACCTTCTTCATCTCATACACAGAAAGCGCCTCTCCTGGGCAAAGTTACTCAGCTTCCTGCTTATTTTTCTGAATTTATTTTGAAATCCCACTGGACATCTGGTATCTATACAGCTCATCAAGGCCATGAATTTTTCCCATGCAATGAAACAAAATTCCCTATCGTATTTTCTTTTCTACACAACATTTAACAATTTGTCAAATATTCAATACCTGCAATAGTTTTTGCAGACAAAGCGCATGTCCATATTTTGCAGCTAAATGTAGAGCATTCCTTCCTGAAGAGAAGACAGCAACAAGGAAACTCTGAACACAGCCAGGAAATATATGCTAGATACATAAGCAAACAGATACCTATCTCCAAACACACACACACACACACACACACACACACACGACCTATACATATATAGGTAACCTTGTGTTGTTTACAAATGCAAATTAAACTTGGTCACTATATTTTAACCAAATTATATACCTCAAGGAAAGAGAACAAAACTATTTTTTAAATTAATTTAAATTGATTTGTACTGCAGGGTAACTTGTTCCACAACTTCTTTCTCTCTTTTTTAGTTTTCTGCCAATAAGATACTAGAGTTCCAACCTACAGGCAACAAAAAAGCAAAATAGAACTGAATGGGCTTACAGGGCCAGACACACAATACCTCTTGTTTTAGTAACAAAATGCAATTGTTCTTTTAAATAAGGAGATCATACCTGCTACATCAGTGGCCACAATGTCAACTCCATGTACAAGAAGAGCATTCAGACAATCAAGGTTACCCTTTGAGGCGACAACATGGAATCTGAGCAAAATAAAAGGTAAAAAAATGTCCTGGTCACCTGTACAATTCCATTCTGTGCAAGTAAATCCTACTGAGTCCAATGGAATTTGTTCCCAAGTTCTACAGCTGAAATTATTCCACAAGTGTGTGGGAAAAGAGATACATTTTAGAAGAAAAATATCAAGATTAAGTACCTTTCAGTAGCAGCTGGTCTTTAAAACAGTAGCTCATCTTCTGAGCTATAGCTAAAGCAGAACTAAATCCTGAAATTTATATAATCTACTAATACTTGCAACAACGTATTTGTAAAGCTGTTTTGCAGTTGCTGGTATTTACTGATTGATCGACCCCAATAGAATAAGGAAGGGGCAAGTCACCGAACAGCCTAATGCCAACCAAGAAGCTGGCCCTGCTGAGACACAAAAGGGGCAGCCAGAATCCCCGCACAGACCTAGAGCCTCCCCATAGCAGGGTGGCCACATTTTACTTCCTTTCCTAGCACTGCTTAGTTCTGAACAGCTGCCTGAGCCGTCCTGACCATCTAAGGCTTGATGTTAACAGGAGCTGCTGCGATCAAGCACATTTCAGCTGGCCCAGGGTCCCAGGGTCACTTGCCACAAGTTGTTCAACATAGGTTCTGCAGAATATCCCAAGCAATAATCACGCTCACCGTTTTCAACTCAAGAGAGAAAGCCATCCTGTGGAGTCATTTACAGCTGATATTCAAGCCATCTTGGCTTTGGGCATTTAGAAGATTTGGAAATTACCAACATCTCTCCTTTTTTGGTGAGCGTCAGGGGAGAGCCTCACAGGGCCAGTGCAGGCCGTGCGCGAGTCCTGGGAGGCCGGGAGAGTCAGTGGAGGCTGCATGTGGGCGAGGGGTGCTGAGGGAGGGGAAAAAGGCTGGAGCGACTTACCAGAGCGACTTGTGACCTTCCTTGCCAACTTCCCCATTGACTTTGCTTGTGGGAAGCCGGCAGGGAAGGTCACAAATGGTGATCATGTGACCGCAGCTCCCTGAGACATTGCAGTCATGAGCTGGGCACCCGAGCACCCAGATCGCAATCACATGACCCTGGGGAGCTGCGATGGCCAGAACCTCGAGGACCGGTCACACATCCATTTTTTCCAGCACCGCAGTAACGTTGAACAGTTGCTGAGTGAATGGACACAAGCTGAGGACTACCTCATTTTCATTTGCCTCATTTTCTGCTTGTGTTTGATTACAACCTGAAATTCTTTTCATACATACTATCACAAGTCAGATATCCTTCATCACATAACTGCACATTTGAGTCCTTTTTTCAGAGCCATGTTTTGTTCCTTGGCTTAAATAAATGAACACATTTGAATGTCCAGATTTGATTAAAGAGAAAGGTTTAAGTCTAATCAATTTTGTCAGCATTTAATAGAATGTTTGCAAAATGGGCTCTCTCCAACGCTTCTCTAACATTCCTAAATTTCAGAATTTCAAATAAAACTGGTTATTCCAAAAATACAACATGAGTTATAAATATGAAATTCCTTTCCCAGGATAAAAGCTCCAACAACTTTCTGTTTATTTTAAAATTTTCTATGGCATTTTCCCAAGGCTTAGGAGGCTTCTAAGAAATAAACACTAAATCAAGTTTATACTTGATAAGGTCTATTAGAATAACATCCCTCTGAAAAATCTAGTCCAGATGAAGGGGTTAGAAGGGAGGCCAAAATAGTTAAGATCAAAGTTCTCTTACTTACGCAGATCTCCCTTCCAGATCCAGCTTAGTGGGGTTCACTCCCTTTTTAGCAAGGACAGACAAGATCTTCTCCACATCACCCCTTTCAGCTGCTTTCATCAAACGATCATCATATTTGTTCCAATCTGCAGTCAACTGTTTGAAAAATGCAGAATAAATATAATAAATGTCAGTAGTGGAAAATCTAGTAGAAATTCCAGAAAACATTTGTTTCATGCAAATGATTAGTATCTGCAAATAAAAAAGATGAATTGATGAAAAAGATGAAAAAAGAATTGTTGCTCATCTGGCACATTGCTAAAAGGAGAAATCACTTTAAAAGGCAGGTTTTAAGCAGTTTTGCAGGCAGACTGCCTGGAAGAGGCATTTCTCTGGTCTAAGAATACAAGAAATAAATCTACTTAATTGCATTTTTAGCAGCCTTCTTAACTGAGGCACAGTATTATTTCTTCTATAATATGAGCCTGACAAAGAGCAGTATACTCCTGAATGCTCTTCAAGATGCAAACGTCTTCAACAAAAGTTGCAACCTTGGTTAAACTAGAATTATGCAATTTCTGGAGGATATAAGACATAATCCTGTAACTGGCTCGCTGGAGGTTGCACTCCAATAAATAAGGGGAAACAAGGAAAAAAACCTGAATGTGATTGAACCTAAATCTAAATCCATTAAATACACTCTACAATTTATGCTTAAAATAACTGTTGGAAAAGTTGGAACTGGATGGCCACTTTAGCCACCCCATTTTGGCTGCCTAGTAGATAACATCTCCCTGGGTGAAAGGATCAGAGTGTACAATCTTCCCCCAGTGAGATGCTTTCCAGTCAGCTATGATGGCTAGAGACTATGGGGAATGGAGCCCAACGCATTTGGAAGCACTGCACTGGTGAAAAGTATGCCGGAGGGGCAAATATTCTGAGACTGTGTAAAGCAGCCCCCTGTGTTCCTTCAGCAATTCTAATTCCCTATGGAATCTTTTATTCAAACAGACGTGGCCTGAGGTATCTACCCCCAGAACCAAAATAATATTATGTACAGAGGAGAATCAACCTTCCCAGAGCTTGTTTTTGGGGGAAAAAGATGGCCAGCATGGCTAGGTTTTTAATCAGTTTTTTCCCTCAAAAGCTCTCCACCTTCCTCAGCCCAGCTTCTGATCACTACCACAGATTCAACAGTGCGTGTCTTGTGTGTGTGATCCCCAAGCTCCTCACACGATGGCAGCAGCATCTGAACTGCAATTTGAACTGGCACTGTTCGTGAGATTCCTCCTGTTTTCCAGACCCCTTGGAGATTTATCCTCATGTTGAGGAAAAAATAGCCGTCTGAATAGCAGAGAATCTGCCTCATCTAGTAATGGGTCTGTTCTGAAGGTAGACAATACAGAAATAAAAGGCATAAGCACTACAGTCACCCACGGTACCATTCATTTTGCACAAAATGTGTTTTTTCCAGTCAATATCAGAAAAGCACTATGCAAAAACAAGAGCAGATCTGGATGCACTATTTTTGCCACTGCCCACACAGCAAGTGAGAACATCCTCTCTGTACAGCAGTGCTATACAGGGTGCTGTATGACAGGAGCTGCCAGAGGACAAAGAGAACAGTTTACTTTTTTGAAGCAAGTGCCACATTCACACACCAAGGAAGAAGCATTTTCCAACCTGCATTGTGGCCATCCTTTACAAGCTGTTCTTCTACATGATCAGGCCAGACTCTGATTTCACTCATTTCCGCGCACAGAACAGATGACTTCCTTTGTGCAAGCAGAATCTCAGAGGGCAGCTAAAACAAGCTGTACACAATTATAGTTCCATCTTTCCCCTCTCTACAACCCATTTTAAAAATGAACACAGAAACACATGCATTTCTGTTTTCTAAATGGCTTCAACAAAGTACCTTGGAGGCCACCATCTGTCTGTATGTCAACATCCCTTTAGAGAAAGAACTCAGACCATAGTCTGAGCCTCCATAATCAGTTCCCCCTGCTCAAAATCAATGACCAAAAACTGTGTAGATATCACCAGACATTTTACTTCATTATCCAACAACTAATGGTGGCCTTTATTGGACTAGGGTGGCATGGGGTCACCCTATTCCTCTTTAATCGTTCCCGTCCAGCACTTTTCAAAGGATCCCTTTTTCCACTTGCCAAGCAGAACACATTACACCGTTCAGAGCCATTTGCATCCTTTCAAAGCCAAATCAAATCAAATCACCCCTTCAAACCCAAATCAGACATTGCAAGAGAAACACAAACATGGGACTGGAAGTCATGTGCACTTCCTCATAGCACCAAGGAAGTGATGGGATATCTGTAAAGAAGATACAGCACTAGACAAGCATTTCCAAAATGTCTTCCAGGTTGTCTTCCATTTCTGTCAAAATCTGCAGCCAAAATCAAACATTCAGAGAAACAAAGCATCTACAGGGAGAATTACACATTCCAATCCACTGCTTATCCCAAAATGTGTCCCCTTACCCCAAAATGCCTCATTAGCTTTGAGCATGGACTGAACATCTGCACCAGATATATAGCTTAATTGGACTGGGAAATCGTTAAAGCTATCCTTCCAAGATGGAGGAGTCCCAGCAAGGGAGGGACATTTTGAGGCTAAGAAAGGGATTACTTCAGCCACTTTCCTCTCCATATAATATGCATTATCATTTGAGAGCCTTTCCATAAAATTTTCTTGGTGAGGTTTTTACAAGGTAGGTCGCCAAGTCTTTCCTCAATCCTCCCCATTTACCCAGGCGTCAGCGGTAAAAGGAAATGAGGACGCCAAAAAACATGGTGGTTAGACACCATCAAAGCCAACACCAACCAGAGCATAAAACAACTGAAAGAAGACTGGAAAATATGGAGAGAGCTGGTCCACCGGATCACCAAGAATTGGACACAACTGAATGGATATCATCATCTTCATCATCATCATCATCATCATCATCATCCAGACTGAAACACATATATTGACCTCTTCCAAAAATGTCTCTTGGATTTTTAATCCTAGGGCAATGAATGCTTCCTTTAGTTGAATATATAATAGTTCATTAAGTGTTCTAATGATCCAAGTAAAAAAAAAAATTGAAGTTATACCAAAAGAAACATTTCTTTTTTAAAAACTTCTGGAGGATTTGTCACAGTAAAAACCAGAGTTTGCAGTGAAAATGCGTTTGAACACTCTACAAATACTTTGAAACACGTGTCAATAAATCCAAACTTTTTCTACACAAAATAGCTTATTATGTCAATTTATCCATCATCTTTGATGCAAAAGTAGTTGTAAATGAACCAATAATTAAAGAAAATTATAAACAGAAACATTACAATGGTGGAACTCAACCAATACATATTGGAACAAATTTATAATATGTATTGGAACACATTTAAGACTGCTCTGCCAAAAGTTTGCTTGGTTCATTATCAAATACATGATACCTACTACATTTTTATGAGCACATGAAAACCAGCAACTCATCCTAGAGTTCCAAGAGCAAACAATGCACCCCACATTCAGCTACAGAAACAGAAAGACCCCGCCTGAGTCCAAGGAGGCTGCTCGTTGTAATCTGGAATTCCGCTGCCCTGCTGTATTCATCTCGGCCATCCTTTTCTTAGCTTGGATCCCCAGTCATGTCCTCTCCGTCCTCCGGTTCTTCTTCAGATCTCATGATTGAAAAGACTCAAGCATTCTGCCAAGCACAAGAGTCTTCCTAGCATGTCCTGACAATGGCTTGGGCTGCCCCTGCCAGGCACTGGTGAAGGAAACCTACACTGAGAGGGCTTTGTTTTGCAGCCTTTGGGCCGTGGCACCAACTACTGCCTCAGCAATTCCGACACAGTAAATATTACCCAGGTCCAAAATATCCTGTAAACAATATGCAGACAGTCTCACACGAGTCCAGGGCTATTTTCTGATTTGCCTGGTACTTGATAGCAGGGTGATAGAAAGAAATGGCTAATAATACATTCAGTGCATGCTCAACCAGTGAGTAATATGTCAGCTAGTAAGGCAAGAATGCATAAGTTGATCCCACCACAAGTGGGCGACATCCTCTGAAAACAGGGGATACTGTCCCATTCCTAATTAGCTTTGAATAGGAGCCCCTCAAAGCAAAGCCACAGGAAACTGGGCTTTCTAAATACCACCCAGAAGGCCTGGCACAGCATGGCTTTCAGATACAGTAACTGCCACTTGGTGATCGGATGACTGCAGCAAGCAAAATTTCAACTATCCAGCAAGAGGAATCTAAGAATCTATTTTGACAAAAACATCTCAGAGGCTAATTTAGAAGACCCATATGCCTTTGCCTTTTAAAAAATAACAAGAAATCCCCACAGAAGCTTCCATTCGGAAAGGAGGTAAGTTTCAGCTGATTTCTGCTGCCAGGCTGTTTTCTACAGGCTAGTTGAGAAGGCTTGTCAAAATACTGAATGTGAAAAATGCAGGTTGCCTTCTCCTTCTTCCCATCCTCAGTGCATTTGGATGATGATGGATTTGCCCCTCTGAGTCCACCTCAATGAAACGTGCCCCCAGGAGAGGCTGAGCCTTTCCAGACATCAGACAGAATAACTGAAAATGATTTGTGAATATGGCTTCAAATAGTGTCTAGACCTTCTGAAGAGAGAGCGCACGCTCAGTTAATAGGATAACTCTCTACTCCCCTCAAGACTCATTGTAACAATTAGAAAATTGAAAACAAGAACAAAATGCTCTTCTAAATAAGGTTTTGCACTGCCTCTTCAATGGCACTTCAGCAGAACAGCCAGTGAAGTCACTCCTTTGGTTGGTTTCACCACTTCTCAAAGTAGCCCCATCTTTAAGAAGTGATTCCCTCAAGGCTGGATGAGTATCAGGAACAGCTGGTTGCAGAGCTTAGCTAAGTTAGCATTAGGCTGACAATATGAACACTCTAATTCCTTTTACCCAAGCAGGTATACACTCTTCAAGATATTTGAGATTTGTGGTCTTTGAATCGGGCAACGCCCAGCTGATTCTAGGCCTGCTAGCTCTCTTGGTCAATTTACTCCTATGGGAAGCTGCAGCGCGCCATGCCAGCATGGCACCAAGATGAGGGTAGTAAGAATTCTGAGTTAATCAAGCTTCTCCTACAGGTACATCCTGACAACTCAGAAAAACTGTAGCAGGGTTTCTTCCTGTATTGCAAAGCCACACTCCTGCTCTAACGCTAGAGGGAACATTCTTTTAAAAACACACATTCCAGCAAGCCAACTGCAGCCAAAAAAAATTTTCTGGTAGAAAACAACATGCCAGGGAGAGTTTCGCACAACTAATACAACTGCATTTGTGGACGGTGTCTTGAATTTCTACTATTAAAAGGTTCAAGAAAAAATGTTGAACTACAAAAACAGTCATGATGAATTGGTTTTCCTGACTTGCTGTAATCAATCTTAGCTACTTTTGCCTACAGCAGTTATCAATTCAGTTTTGCATTTAACTTCAACATAATGAAAAAAGGTCACTTGGGAGATACTGTTGGATTGTGCAATCTATACTGGACTTCCTCTGACCTTCCAGAGGAAATGTCTGTTCTGGAATACATTTCCCAGGTTCAGAATATAATAGCAAAGATTACAAATTAAGAGCAATTCAAGCAGCATATAGACTTCAGAATCAATCTGTCTAGAAATGAGCAATCTGTCCAGTATTCAGGCAGGTTAAAGCCCTAAAGTGCAGTACTCTGTTATATCCAATTCATGGGTAGAAAAAATGGATGATCAGAGCCTGAGAAATGTGAAAACATTCCTCAGCCCTGCCAAAAAGACAAGAGCACAATCTTCTCTCCAGCTCTCCAGAAATAAGACTTATCAGGTTCCACAGGGCTTCTTCCAGATGAAGGACATACAGGGCTATATTCTAAGACAATATTTTATTGCTTCATCAAGGTGACATCTGTGACTTTGATTTCTACATCTTTTGCTTTGATTGCTTTTGTTATTTTTATTGTTAATTCCATATATAGAGGCATCAGTGGTCATGATTTTCTAATACTTCTTTTTAAAAAACCTAATTCAAAATGGCAAATAAAAAAAAAAAAAAGCAGTCAAAGCAAAAGTTGTAGAAATCAAAGTCCCAGATGCAATCATTTTGCCACTACAACATTTTGGCACTAGAAGCCAAAATTCATAATTTATTTTGAAAGGGATCATCCAAAAAACAAGAGACGGTACTTCTCAGTCCTGCATTCCCCAACATCTAGATGATGTTCAAAATTATTTTGCTTTAAGAATCCAAATGCTTCTCTTTTTAAGAATTTGAAGGTACTTGTACAACCCGCCCCCCCTTCATTAGCCTTTTTCTATTTTACAAGTTATGCTGGAATTAGTCCCAATTACAGAAACTTAGAACAGCTTCCTTACCTTCATGCCCCCAAAAGCCTTGGTTGCCACAGACCAGAGACAGCTTTGCGTTTTCTCCAAACCCAGGATAGTTGAGCACAACCCAAGATTTATAAGCCAACAACAGAACTGAGTTTAAACCTGGGTTCTAATTTCTTCTGTTGGGCAGATAACCCCATGCTGGAATGCTATAAAATCGTTTTCTTTCCTGCTTTCCTTATCAGGGGGTGGTGGGTGGGGAGACAGCCTATCCACGCCCCATTCATTGCAATAAAAGTGGTGGTTTATGGTTTTCATGAAGATGCAGCCAACGGCTCTGGAACAATCTTTCCCTTGAAAGAGTTGGTCATTCCTAAGGTCTGTTTTAGTTTTCAGTTGAGAATCTACACATATAATTTTTTTGACTCACAGGTAAAAGGATGAGGAGGAGGAGGGCAGGATGCGCTTAAATTACCAAAGAAAGGCAAAGGGCACGTGGTGGCTGCAGATGCAGAAGGACCATTAATGGAGTCTCTGCAGCACTTTGGAGTTTTCTGATTCTTCAGTTATCAAGCAGCTCTTCATTGAGCCAATTTTTTCGCTCTGCAGAACTCAGAGATGGCACATTAAATTTTGACTAGAAATAACTATTTTCATTCTAAGAAAAACAACAGCACCTACCATTCTGCAAGCATATCCCTCCTCAGCTACCAATATAGCTGCCATTGGCTGCTCAAAGAACAACAGGGGTATAATCTATCTGCCTATCCTCAAAAAATCCTGGAGAACAAGTGAAAGCAGACTAGACAAGGGGAACTGTTCTCCCTTTTCAGAAAACAGAAACAAGGAAGACAGACTAGCCAATCTGACATAAATACCTAAGATTCTAGAAGAGATCATAAAGCAATTTGACCTTATAAATAATGCAGTCATTCCAATAGTCAGCAAGCATTTACCAATAACAAATCTCAGATTAACCTTATTTCATTGTTTGACTGGTAATTTCCTAAGTAGGTTGTGGGAATGCTGTGTACATTATATACTTCGGGAATGCTGTGGACACTGTATACTTCAGGGAGTCCCTCAAGACTTGGTTATGTTACCAGGCTTGGGGGGTCCCAGGGAACTGGCAACATTTTAAGGTGGCTCCCCTATTGAGGGTGATATGCGGTTGCTATAATTCTCTCTCCCTTTGTGGTTTGTATATTTTAATTTTTTAATGATTTTTTAAAATCTTTAATAATGATTGTCTATATTTTTATAATGATTGTTTTTATAATGATTGTTTTTATATTGTGGTTTTATTTGATTGTTGCATGGCGCCCAGAGTCACTTCTGATGAGATGGGTAGCTACATAAATTTGATAAATAAATAAATAACAATATTTTAATTTCAGGAAAGCACTTACTAAAGTACTCCATGATAGTTTAAAGCCATTTAAATATGGTTTAGGTGGCATGTCTATTAGGTGGATCTTCAGTTGGCTTGAAAACCAGGTTCAGATCAGATTCACCAATGGCTCTTCATTAACATGAAGTAAAATATAAAGTGTTATGCTGCACAATTCAATCCTGAGGCTGAAATTCTGGTGTATATTACTGAGACCTGGCTGGGCCCTGAAGGGGGGGGGGTGCCCCTCTTGGAAATGTGCCCAGCTGGGTTCTCGGTGTGGCACCAGCCAAGATGCCAGGGCAGGGGAGGAGGGGTAGCGGTTGTCATCCGGGACTCTCTTGTGGCCTTCGGGGGTGCTGCTCCACAAGTGGCCGGCTGTGAGACCCTGTTCCTGAAGCTGGGTTCGCAAGAACAATTGGGATTGTTGCTTCTGTGCCAACCTCCCTGCCTGAACTGCTGGAGGCTGTCTTGGGGCTGGTGGTGGTGTTCCCCAGACTTATGGTTCTGGAGGACTAATCTGGGGCAGGAAGGCTGAGCGCCAAAGAATTGATGCCTTTGAACTGTGGTGCTGGAGAAGACTCTTAGGAGTCCCTTGGATTGCTAGGAGGTCAAACCAGTCAATCCTAAAGGAAATC